TCAATCTGGCAGAATCGTGGTTTTTAGTGTTTACGAGTTAAAAATTAAAAATATTTTCTGAAACAATTTTTTGATTTTCAATAGGGTTCATCCATGGGTGATAATAAACAATTTCACCAAGTTTCGTCAAAATCTGTCAAGAATTATTGTGCCTTCTACTGAACGCGTTTTCAAGAATAAGGACAATAACTCATACTTTATATTTTTCGATTCTTCTGATTGTCAATAGGGTTTATCCTTGGGTGATAACAAATACTCACAGCAAGATTCGTCAAATTCTGTCAAGAATTGTGCCTTCTAGAGTGTTTACGGGCTATAACTTGAACGTGTCCTAAACAAGGGCAATAAATCATACTAATTTTTTTAGGATTCTACTGATTTTGCTAACAAACATTTACACTAAGTTTCATCAAAATCCGTCAAGAATTGTACCTATTAGAGTGTTTACGATCAAAGGTGCGCGGACGGACGGACGAGCGGATGGACATGGGTGACGTCAATATACGCCCCTCATTTCATACGGGCATTTAAAACTTGAATTAATGAAGTTAGAAATTAGTCGTAGACAATTTTGGAATATGATTATGTGAAATGTACCATCATTACCAATTGTTTGACATGTAGTACCAGTGTATCCAGCTTGACAGGTACACAAGAATGATGTACCACTCGGTTGACAAAAACCATTATTTTGACAAGGATTTGGTAAACATGGGTTAGCTTAAAGAAGAAAAGAAATTGAATTAATGCAAAGAAATAAGTCGTAGACAATTTAGGAATATGATTGTAAAATTATTACCAATTGTTTGACATGTAGTACCAGTGTATCCAGCTTGACAGGTACACAGGAATGATGTACCACTCGGTTGACAAAATCCATTATTTTGACAAGGATTTGGTAAACATGGGTTAGCTTAAAGAAGAAAAGAAATTGAATTAATTTAGTGTAAAATTAGTCGTAGACAATTTAGGAATATGATTATTTAAAATGTAAAATTATTACCAATTGTTTGACATGTAGTACCAGCGTATCCAGCTTGACAGGTACACAAGAATGATGTACCACTCGGTTGACAAAAACCATTATTTTTACAAGGATTTGGTAAACATGGATTAGCTTAAAGAAGAAAAGAAATTGAATTAATGCAAAGAAATAAGTCGTAGACAATTTAGGAATATGATTGTAAAATTATTACCAATTGTTTGACATGTAGAAAAGAATAAAAGAAATTGAATTAATTTAGTGTAAAATTAGTCGTAGACAATTTAGGAATATGATTATTTAAAATGTAAAATTATTACCAATTGTTTGACATGTAGTACCAGCGTATCCATCTTGACAGGTACACAAGAATGATGTACCACTCGGTTGACAAAAACCATTATTTTTACAAGGATTTGGTAAACATGGGTTAGCTAAAATAGGAATAGAAATTGAATTAATGAAGTGTGAAATTCCTTGTGGACAATTTAGGAATATGATTATTTAAAATGTAAAATTATTACCAATTGTTTGACATGTACTACCGGTGTATCCACCTTGACAGGTACACGAGAATGATGTCCCACTCGGTTGACAAAAACCATTATTTTGACAAGGATTTGGAGAACATAGATCTACTAAATATACAAAACATTCAATTTATTATATGTACTTTAAGAGGAATAACTTGAGAATTAGCAATGCATATATAATACATGATATATATTGAAAAATACATTAGTGACCGTCAGTTGCTTTAAAGTAATCACAGATTTAAACGATCTCAGCCGGATTTTCAATTCATATTCTAGTGGTGAAGAAAAAATACCAGTAGATGACAGATCCAACAAAACGAACATATTCTAAATGCCAAGTCACGTATATAACACTTTATCATACCGTTACATTGGGCAGTTGTAAGACATAGCAGACGGTAAGAAGCCATGTTTGTCTGCTAAGCAACGAGGTTCAAATCTAAAAAGGCAAGAACAACATCATCCGGGAGATGGCTTTGATGTATACATCACGAGATCAAAAAATGATTTTGGAACGTTATATACTTACTAACAGATTTTCTTTTATTT